AATGAAAAAAAGCAGTATATAGCAACCACAAACATTACACTACATTAATTTTAATTTATAAGGATTCATTTAAAATCCTTAAATATTAATGAATGACGTTTATTGTTTTTTGTGAAGTGACGGGAATAACGACAATATTTCTTCTTAAAAATCCCCTTGCATTGTCAATCTTTCAAGGCTTTCATCTGAATTATACGAGCTTCTTTGATTCTAACGAAAGAAATTAATTAATTCCATTTTCAATTTGAGGCGTAATCATTTGACAGTCTGATGATTGATTTTCAGGCTTTGGTGTTCAGTTATAATACCAAATTTTTGGCTTGGAGAACATACATATTAAACAAATAATTTCAATAAGGCAAAAATCATACAAGCAACCATATCACCCGACTAAGGTTTCCGGTCCAAACTATTTTGAGAAAAAGTAGCTTTGACAATAGTTTGGGCTTTTCGATATTTTTTATAAGAATGAACATGAAAAAATTATATAAATCAATCTATTTTTAATTTAAATAATTTAAAAATAATTTCTCACATTAAAAATAGTTTTGGCCCATAAAAATTAATTTTTGCCCAAAGTGTTTCGGCAATTTCGACCAGAAACCTTACACCCGACATAATCATTCCGCCCAGTTTGATAGTGATAGTAATAGTTTTTCGAATATTATTATTATTTAGTGTTCGATCGGCACCATAAAAATACGCACAAAACATACCAAGATAGTATTTTTTTTTTTATACTGTATTTCCATATTTTTTTGGCTATTCCGCATGTATTTCTTTATTTTGTTTTCTATAGAGCTTTTAACCTCAGGTTACTATCGTAGGCAGAATTGCAACTATAATAGAAAATGTCTTTTCAAACTGGATGGGAAAATCCAAGTAAAAATTATTCCGAGTCTTCATAAAAATTTATTAGATGTAGAATAAATAATTGGTTTAATAATAATATAGTTAAATAATTCAACCAAATGAAAAAAACAAGAACGATCAAAGGACAAGGTATACTTGTAAGCAAGCTTCTTTTTATATCTCTTTTACATAATACATTAGTACCTGTCTATAAGCATACTGTTGGGCCAAGAAATCCTATGCTATTAAGCAAGTTATTCTTAAAAGCAGGTTTTGCATTTTTTTTCTTTAATAAAAATCAGTTGACATATTTATTGTTGAATATACATATTCATAAAAAAAAAAGATGGGAATGACCTATTCTTTTACATTTTAAGTAAGCAATTGTTTAGTTAGTTATTCTCAAAAAGGCCTGGTCAATTTTTAAAAGACAGTGTGACACGGAAATTTTGTTGATACACATGATTATGCTTATGTACATCTATGTTCATATATTAGGCTTAGAATTTTTTTTATGTTTATAACACATATGGCCCAAATCAGGCCAACAAAAT